GAGCCTATACAGCTTGGAGTAAGACAACATGCATGAAGAGGATGATGTGGACAAAATACTCATTTGCCTAATAATTCTGCACTCCCTGTAAATTACTGGTATCGGAAGAATCGATATTTCAATATCGATCCGCACACCACTAATTCAAACCACTGCAGTGCAGTACCTGTAATACCTACAGCGTGCTCTAATCCCTGTGATAAAATGTTACGGTCAGCAGTAGCCTAGCAGCTTCTGCACTGTGATGAATTCTAAATCCTACCTGAAACTCTTCATATAAATTGTTCCTTTGCAGATAAATTATTAGCTGTTTAACAACCTTTTTCAAGAATTTCTGAAAAAGAAAATGGCCTATAATAATTAGCTGGGTCAAGTGACTGCTTTTTAAGTAGTAGTTTAATTACCCTGCCATAAAGGTCTGTGGTATCATCCTTTAATAGATATAAAATGTCTTTGAGCAGTCTTGTCAAGAAGATTGTAAATCAGAAGATTGATCTGAGAGAAAAAGTGTAAAAAAAAAGTAGCTGCGGATTCAAATATTAGATCCAGTTCTAGGTTCGCAGAAGAGCAAATATTGTTTCACGGAATATAAGGACCGTATACAGTACAGTAATTTTTTAAGGGTGTTAAACTTTATTGTAGCACCCAGGAGAAAAGCCACACTGGTTTTTAACTCGCAGTGGTGGCTCAGTGTTTGTTTTATTTTATGAGTTTAAGGAGTGTTTTGATTTGGAAATGACTAGTAGTATCAGATCCAAGAAGTGGATTGCCACTGATAAAGGTAACAGCACTAAAGGTGACATTACTAGAAACCAGAGGCTTTAACAGAGCATCGGTACTGAGAAAAGTGTAACGCTATTGGCACCACTATCCTGTGTCTTTACTGACTGCTGTTCAAATAGCCCAACAATTATGTTTTTAAGCTTAAGACTCGTTCAGTGTTCCACTTTAAACATGGAATTTCTCCTTTAGGTGTGTTGTGTTGTGGACCTCAGAATGTAACTCTTGCCCACAACGATCAGACACTCCTGTTAAAGTGGGAAGATGACCCTTCTTGCTCTGTTATACGAGATGGGCTCGTGTACGAGCTGCAGCTTCTCATAGCAGACAAACCTGAACACAATGTAAGAGATTATTATGGGTAACTATAATCTTCACTTCTGTAGCCTCCAAACAAAAAGCTGTTCCTCTAATGTGTTTATGATAATGTTGTAGGGTGAAGTTGTTGTGGCACCTGCACAGATAGGATCTACTCATTCCTGGAAATGGACTTCCCATTTACCATCGCAGTGTGCTCGCCATTCAGTCCGGCTCAGGTCCCAATACAACAACCAATCAAG